CTCGTGCGTAGTGCACGACTTGTTCGCCCCGACACATGGTATTATAAAAAAAAATCTAACTTGCATTTTGCATGCCCGTGTCGGCACATGCAGCCGACGACAGGATGCGCAGCGCTACAAAACGCTGTAACTTATAGGTTATAAATAAGACCCCGAACTCGCAAAAAGGAATATTATTATCTATTTTTCAGATGTAAATCACGTACCAAAATTTCTTTTTTTTTTAAATAATGTACTTTTCGGGCTCTTTACATATCCCATGGTCTGCTATGAGCTATCCATCTATCCAACAGTTGCAGTGCCACTCAGAATTTTAAATCGCAAAGATCTTACGGGCGCTACCACTGCGCCCGTCACCCTGAGACATAAGTTGTCAAGTCGTGTGCCTGTAATTGCACCAGCACCCGTACCCTTTTAATGCGGAACGCAGTAATACTCAAATTACTGCTAGGCGGCAGAATTAGGTAAGGTCGCAGTACTTCCCCGGACGAACTCTTTCAAAGGAGCTCTACTGCTACCAATACTAAATAATACTAGATACTTAACAATAACGTGTATTTTTTTAAAGGCAGATAGCTACACCGGGCTGTATAGCAAGCAATTTGAGGCGACCTTTAGAGAGACTAATACAGAGTCATAATATGTAATCTGATAAATAAAATACTGCGTACAATAGGGTAGTAAGGTCAGGTCTTTGAATTCCAAAACCGACAAGTGATTTATCACTAATGATAAAATGGCATGTGTTAATCATAATAGTGACTCGTTTTTTAGTTGTATTTTTATTCTTTCCACTACGGAAAAGGAAAACCATACAGCCAAGTTTTGGTGAATTTTTCTTTTGTTAGCTTTTCGTAACCTAAGCCAAGACTTTAGTAGACAGGTGCATATTTTATAGGCTTGAAGCCTCGTCTTCGGTGGTAGTATCCAGTATTGTGGGTACCATGGATACACACATAGACAACATATTCACACATATTCATCCAAACTTATTAGGAAGCTTATTAGGAAGCTGGAACATTACTGTGTAAATGGCAAGGCGTCGAAACTTGTCTCGTCATATCTCAACGGTAGAATTCAGAAAGTAGACATACATGGAGTGACTTCTTTGGGTTCTCCAGTAAAAATGGGTGTTCCGCAGGGCTCAATACTTGGACCTTTCTTATTTCTGATTTATATTAATGATCTGCCATTCTTTGTTAAGGACCATTGCGAAATAGTGTTGTTTGCTGATGACACATCCTTGATTTTTAAAACAGACAGACATGACATTAACTATGACCGTATTAATGATACCCTCTCTAAGGTAGTTTATTGGTTTAATGCTAACAATTTATTGCTTAATGCCAAGAAGACAAAATGTGTTAAATTTGAATTACCTAACGTAAAATCGACTAGTCCAAGCATAGAAATAAACGGAGAAAAGTTAGACCTTGTTAATAAAGCAGTCTTCTTGGGAGTGACCTTAGATAGTAAACTTCAGTGGTTTCCACATATATCGTCCCTGGCCAGCAGATTAAGCTCCGCTGCATACGCAGTCCGCAGAATACGTGAGCTTACCGATGTTAGTACTGCTAGACTAGTTTACTTTAGTTACTTCCATAGTATAATGTCCTACGGGATTCTCATGTGGGGTAAAGCGGCAGATATTCAAACCATATTTGAATTGCAAAAACGAGCGATTCGTTCTGTGGACCGTCTAGGCTCTCGGGTATCTCTCAGAGAAAAGTTTAAGGAGACTGGTATCATGACTGTGGCATCACAGTACATTTACTCAAATATTTTATATGCCCGTAAAAATATACATAATTTCAATAAGAAAGAAGATATCCATAATATTAACCTTAGAGCTAAGTCCAAACTCATGGTACCACGATTTCGTTTAACAAAGGTAAACAACTCTTTTATGGGGAACTGTATACGTTTTTACAATAAGATTCCGGAGCATATATTAAATTTATCATTTCCTAAGTTTAAAAACTACATTAAAAATATTTTGATCGAAAAATCATATTACAAAATTGAAGACTACGTGTTAGATAAAGATGTATGGAAAGACGACATGGCTCCAGAATCCACACAAATTTGATTCAAAGTGTATTCCATAGCATTTAAGTTTATTTGAAAAGAGCAATCCCTAGAGTTTCTTGCTCGTTCTTCTCAGGGAGGTCAGCGCCAGCGTAGTGAACGAGCAGTAGCTTAAATGTGACGTTTTCAAGTGTAAATTTATTTTACCTATGGAATAAATAATCTTTGACTTTGACTTTGACTCATAAGAGAAACAAATGTAGGCCATACAAATATTTAGAGTGGGTTCATTTAAGAGCTCAAATCCACAACAGAGTTCAAATTTCCAGTACTTTCAATTCCGAGAATATGTCAATTCCAACGATCCGTCGATTCTAATTAAATTCAAGTGCTAATGACAAGTTCGAAATTAAAAAAAAATCATTCAGATTCTGAATAATTGGTTTCAAAGGACAGCAGATTTTTGATGAAATAATTTTCTATTTCAAATGATATATGCCTATACCACTCAATAACGTCTTCTTCTTATTTTAATATTTGTAGCCCCATCGAAATAATCGATGATTCCGCCAATGTCAAGTTAAGGAAAGCACGCGTTTATTACTCTGAATTTGACTTATAGGATGGAAAAAAAGTAGTTTCCATAGTCTAAGGAATTTGACCTGAATCTGAATTTGACATCACGAAAACGAACTTTGTGATTTATGAACGAAAATTAGAGAACCATCTACAGAAGTACTACTTTATTAGGTACCGGATTTTACATTATTCCTAAGTCCATTTTCGGCAATAATACATATACTACGAGTCATGTACCTCACTTCGGGCTTCGCCCTCCGCTGGATGTTCATCACCTGAAGAGGCTGTCGAAGAGTTTGAAAAATATGTTTCAGAGATTGTCACGGAGGAGTGGCATAAATGTTTTCAAAATTGGTTCATCGGTATGAAAAAGTGCATTAACGCTAACGAGAATATTTTGAGAAACAATAAATTCATTTCTGACCATTTATAGTATTTTTTTCTTATTCATTCCGGAAACTTATAGTGCGTCTCACGTACTCAATGTATTTTTTTCAATTTGGCCGGTTCTATTTTAAAATTCTTTTTTAACCGACTTCAAAAAAGAGGAGGTTCTCAGTTCGTATTTTTTGTACGTATGTTACGCGACAATTATTTTTGTATGTATGTATAATTTGCGAACCGATTTTAATGATTCTTTTTTGTTGGAATGAGGGTACCTCAGTATTTGTCACATTTATATTTGAAGAAAATATTATCTAGTATAATACCTCTAAGGGTGGCAAACTAGGGTATGAATCCGGTTTCACGCACTTTCCGGTAACCGATTTCAATAAAACATGGCAAATAGATGTCAATCCACGAACTTTTGAGGTCGGTTTTTTAATACTCTGAACTGAGGTTATTCGAATTATCCAGAAGACGTGCGACCTATATTTTTTTGGCCATGGTTACAAAACGTCGCTGCCATTCCGTTCCGGGGTAATGTAAATTGAGCCTAGGTGACATATCTGCCGATACGCATTTACTTTGTTCATGAAATACCGATCTTAATTGTTACTACTACGGTAATGAACATTTTATGTGATGTTGTATACGGTAATGATAACCTTTCCACGTATTAAGTCAGACTTTTAATCAAGCGACAGTACAATTCATTATCCAGCAACGTTAATTACCTTTGTAATTGTGCAATAAATTCAATAAGGCTATTCATAGTTGAAATTTATATGTATAGCACTGTTAATACAATAGTGTATTAACTCTAAAAGTGTATTTTTTAGAAACGATAAAACGAATCACTCACTTCACAATCATTCATAACTTAAAATTTATGAATATGTTAAAGTTTATTACAGACATCAAATAATTTCGAATTTGCCAATTATTATTAAAAAATAAAACGGAAAAAATAATACTATAGTCAGTAGTAGGGCAGAGCTCCTTGTGACAGAGTTCGTCCAGGGAAATACAGCCACCTTACTTATTTCTACCGCCAAGCAGTAATGTAAGCATTACTGCGTTCCGGTTTAAAAGGGTAAGTGTGCTGGTGAAATTACAGACACATGGTCCTTGTCAATTTATGTCTCAGGGTGACAGACAGGCGCAGTACCAGTGCCCATAAGATCTTTGCGTTTAAAGCTCTGAATGGCACAGCAACTGTTATGGATAGGCGTGTCGCGTATCACCAGGCGCACGACTTTTCCGTCCCGCCAATTGGTATTATATATTTTTTTTTTTAGTAAGGACCGTCTTGACCAAATCTCCAAACTTTATCTCATTTTGAGTTACGTAGATATATTTTAATTGTTTCCTGCAATATTTTAACAACCGCAACGATTTCATTGACGTGTAGAGAATCAAATTTTGCTTTCAGCAATGATATTATCTTGAATTTCTCATATTTTGAGTTACAACACTATTGTAATAGCAGTGCAAAAATATGCTTACATTTAAGGGGAGTAAAATGTATAAAATAAATTATGTTTAACTGAATAGCGATTATTTATTAAATTATTTAGATTTAGCTTTATAATGTTACTGAGGTAATCAATAATGATCTCCGTCATATTTGGACGTGGAGTAAACAATTTGGTCTTAAGCTGAACGCAACGAAAACGCAAATGATTGTTATTGGCAGCTCTAGAATGGTATCCAAGATAGATTGGTTTCGCTTGCCGCAGGTTATTATAGACGACACCTACATTAAAATTAGTGACAATGTAAAAAATCTAGGTATACTTATTGATAGGGCACCTTATTGATAGGGTATCTTGGGCACCTCAATTAGTTGAGACCAGCCGCAAATTGTTTGCGTCTGCCGCAT